TATAATAATGATAACACATATAATAAACAATTATATGTGTTATATATATTATATGTATAATATAATAAAATTTAATAACATACTTATGTTAATTTTAATTACTCTACTTCATCTATTTGTTCCTTTTTAGATCGTATCATTGGATGGATCTCGCCAAGTCGCATCACTAATACATCAATGGGATCACTTTGCAGTCGATTACATCCTGCTTCTCACATTTCCGGTAGATACAGACGTGAGATTGAAAAGCCTGCTCCTCGGCGCGTCGTTCTTAATAGTGAGTGATCGCTTTTTAATTTTATCCCGACAATCCTTGATTTCTTTAATTTCTTTTAGTTCAAGTAAAAAATCTTATACATGTACATATAACATAAATTTACAATTAAATATAATTTATTTATACAATTATATTTTTATGTACAATAAGATAATATATTATATTTTAAAATATAATATATATTTATGTTTCAGGAATATCTGTACTTTCATCGAATAAGAAGAGCTTCCAGAAGGTAGATATCGATTATGAATAATTTGCGACTTTTAAAATTATTGCTTCTATATGTTCTGTTATATACCGGCATAAACTGAATTTTTACAAAACCGATATATCTTTTAAGAAATACAACTTACGCAACCTTACATTACAATTTATGTAAATCCAAGCAGAATAAATCACGATAACGTCAAAATGACATTAAAATGAATCAGAAATAATTAAAAAATGATTTTTAATGATCATTTTAATATTATTATGAAATCATAATGATTTATTTTGCTTAGATACGTGACTTTATATAGATGACAATCGGATTGCATTATCAACATAATTCTCATCGCTTTTAATATCATCAATTTAATACGATAAATACTCACTACAAAAGTATAAGATATAAATGTGTAGCATTTTTAAGATTTCTACATGAAAAGAATGAGTTTGAGATATTAAAAAATTTTTTAACCTACATATAGATCTGAAAAAAATTTGTTGAGCCATTAAAATATTAATTACGTAGGAATCTCAAGATAATTAGAGTGCAAAATTTTTGACATTCTAAATCAGTTTGAGCTACATAATTATTGATGATGCAACAAAATTATTTTTAGATCTGTATAACTAAATTTTAGATATTTCAATAAAATCGTTCTTTTATAAAAAAAAAATAAAATAAAATAAAATAAAATACAACATGTACTATTTTTTGAGCTCCGAAGCAAAATCTCAAAAATGATATCACTTTTTCATAACGCAATTGTTCAAAGACATTGTTATTTATACAATGTTAAAGATTGAAGATGTTCATATTTTTATTATTTTCAGGTGATCTATATTTTATCTTTATGTGTGTATATGTGTATGCGTGCACACAAGATAAAAATTGTATGTATATTGTTAAGAAATTCTATCACAGAGATAATAATAAATTAATATCCGTAGGAAAGCGAATTATATAATACTTTTCTTTCTATTGTACTAGTTTTCTTTCTATTGTATTATATGCGAAAATTGAAGTGAATATTATAAATCATAAACATCTTTTAGACTATTTATAATATATGGATAAATGACTATCAAAATTATCCACATTAATGTTAATTACTATATACAGGGTTAATTACTACATATCTCGGAAGTTTTTGCCAATCGCTTTTGTGTAGATAGAGCGGACTAAATTGAGTCGAAAGAGACAAAAAATCATTTAATTTCTTCTCATAGAATTTTTCTCTAAGAATTTTTTCGGAAGAATTTTTAATCAACTTTTTAGTACTGCATTTTTTTATTTTTATCAACCATGAGAAAATATGGTATTAAAAAATTCTAAAAAAGTTCTGAAAAAATTCTCAGAAAAATTATGAGAAAAAAATAAATGATTTTTGTCTCTTGCAGTTTTTCTATAAAGTTGATAGTATTTGAGTAAAAAATTATTCAAGACCAATATTTAGTAATTTTTAGTAATAATATCTTGTTAACTATTGCGAAGATTGCAAAATAGTACAAGACTTTTTGATTCAGTTTAATCCGCTCTCTACACAAAAGCGATTAGCAAAAACTTTCGGGACATCCTGTATATATGTGTATGTATATATATATATATATATATATATATATATGGATGTTTTTTCTTATATGGAAGGATGAAA